CGCGGCAAGTGTCCATCAACTAATGTGAAATGCAATCAAGCAGGCATGGGAAACATATAAGGCCCACGAAAACATCAACACCCGCTAGCGTCACATGCAACGCCCAAGAGAAGACTTTCCCAGCCATCACATTCAACCCGAGGTCCTAACTCAGTGTCATTCGTACCCAGAGGGGTCCTGTAGGGCAGGGTAGAACTGCCTCTGTGGGCTTCTGAGACGGTAACTCTTTACAGGACTAAAAAGCCTCGTCCCTCTCCCTCAGAATGGCTCTGGGTTTCAAACTGCTGACGTTGTGGTTAGCAGCCCAATGCGTAACCACTATGCAACCAGAGCTCCTTGCCATCACATTCCTGCCAAAAAACACTCTTTGCCATTGAGTGGATGCCAACTCGTAGCAATCCTACAGGACAGAGAAGTGTCCCTATGGGTTTCTCAGAGGGTAACTCTTTATGGGAGTAGAAAGTCTCATATTTCTTCCTCAGAGCGGCTGGTTGTTTTGAACTGCTGACCTTGCGGTTAGCAGCCCAACATGTACCCACTACACCACCAGGGCTCCTGCCGTCACATCAGGGGTGAGTTAATTTAATGTCTGATCAGTATAGCCTACACATGATGTTATAAACATCCAAATGGCCCTTGGGGAAAAAAGGTTCCCCATGCCAGCAATCAAGGACTTATCTATTCAAAAGAGGCTTGCTTGTGATCAATCCCCTTTAGGAAAGTGAAAAATCCTTTGGTACATGCCCCCTCAACCGCCCACCCAAAGGATGACTTAAATTAGTTGTTTTTGAGATCAGGTTGCATTTGTAACGCTCTCTTAAAATAGGGCACTCCATTACTTAGCTTCAACATCAGAACAAACGTGTACCAAACGTGATGTCCCACTCACAGGCAGAGTGCCCCCTCCTCCTCGCAATGCTCCTTCGTACATACATACACACATACACCCTCGCCTGAGACCAGTGTCTGCGTGACCAGCGCCCTCCCTTTTAGAAAGACACATGTGTTAGGCTGGGTTGTCTAGAAAACCAAATCCAGTGATACTCATCCACATATAAGAAAGACCTTTATAGGACAAGAAGTAACTACAGTATCTACAAGGTATCCCAGCCCAGTGCATCACAAGTCCATACATCCTATGCTGGCCCAGGAAGCAGGAAGAAGGTTGGTGGAGGTACGGCAGGGTGCTGACAATGCTCAGGGCAGCCCACATGGGAACATCCCTGGAGACAGAGTCCCAGCAGGCAAGAAGGCAAAGGAGCAGAGAGAGAGGGAGGAGGTTCTATGTGTCTTCTTCTAAGAAGGCCACTCCTCCAAGGAGGTATCATCAGGCTGTGACCTGACTAGCAGGCTGGACTCCACCTCTACACTTTCATAAAAATTTAAGTTGACATAAAAGCAGCACACCTTCTCAGATAGAAGACCAGCCATTTCTGACTCAAACCTAACGCAATTGCCTTTCTGGGTCTAATTCCCTTCTAGAGAGCCCTCCTTCTATACTCATCAACAGCTCACCGACAAGGTGATCCACCCCACCCCACCCCTTCAAATGACAAAGCTCCATCTTCCACGCTGGCAGACCGGGCTTTGGGTCATCTTAAATCTCCAACTCATTTTTGGTCAACTTCATTTGGAAATAAGCCACATTACCAGCATGGCTTTATCAGTAAGCACTTAATTCTGAAGCTGTAGTCAAGGGATGTGGGCGCCTGGGTGGTGCAGTGGGTTTACTCATTGGACTGCTAACAGAAAGGTGGGTGGTTCAAATCCCCTGGCTCCTCCTCAGATAAAAGATGAGGCTGTCTGCTTCCTTCAAGATGGACAGTCTAAGAGACCTTCAGGAATGGTTCTAATCTGTCATTTCGGGGCACTGAGAGTATTAATCAATTTGATGGTAGTTGGTAGGTGGCACAGTCCACTGAAAGACTGTTGGTTCAAATCTACCCAGAGGCTCTGCAGGAGAGACTTAGCGACCTGTTTCACAGAGATGACAGCCTAGAAAACCCTACTGCCACACAGGGTCGCTAGGAGTCAAAATCAACTTGATGACACACAGCAGCACCAATAACAAAGCCAAGAAAGAATACAGTATTCCGGAGCCAAAAGGTGTCCATGATGCTAGCGAAGTGAGCAGTCTGTAAGGCGGTAAGACCAGTTTCCTGGGTACAACTGGTCTTTCTATCAGAGATCTCATGCTGCAGTCTATGTTACGCAGAGTCTACAAACCCACAGCAAGGATCCTGGGGTTCATCTCTTCAGCCCTCACACCGGCAGTGTTTTATTGTTCAAGGCGGGGTACACCTCTCAACTGGCCAGGCCTCTTCCCATTGCAGAGTTAGCAAGCTAGAAAGCTTCATTAGTCACATGACCTTGACCACCAACCACCTTAGTTAGGCATGCACATTCTCAACCTGGCCTCTAAATAGCTAGTTACAAGGCAAATGGTTCAATGAATGTCTACAGGCAGCATCTAAAGCCCAGAGACGTCAAGAAGTATGCAAACGTCACACAGCAAGCCAACATAGGCTGTATGGTTAGCACACAGATCTCCGGATTCTTCTTGCCACCACACCTTCCACCCAACACAGGGATGGATGAGAGGGGCCACAGGAAAACGTGAGCGCGCATACATACACATACACACACACACACACACACACACACACACA